AGGCGTCAGCCAGCCCCGCTGTGGGACGCCAGCTCAATCTGGTCTCCAAAGGGCAAGTAGGACTGGGGTGGACTCCCCACGCGGGCGTCTCGGCCTCGCTGTGTGCAGTGTTCCTCTAAAAGGAACACGGAGGGGAAGCTTGCCCAGCTTCTTGTCTGTGGGACAGGGCCCGGTGGGCACAGGAAGGGGAAAGTTGACCTCGAGGCAGCTCTGCTGGACGACCACAGCAGATCAGAACCCACAAGCCATGCCCTGGGGGGCGAGGCCTCTCCCTCGAGGCTGCCCTGAGGGGCTCAGTCTTCTGAAGGCAGGTTCTCCCCAGAGGGGGGCTGCATGTGGGCAGCACCCTGCGGGACCCCTGTGGCCTTCAAGACGGGCTCCTGTGCTGCTGTGGTGTCACTGGGCCAGCGCTGAACGCCTGCCAGGCCTCTTTATACTTTGTCTCACCAGCCAGGCCATTTTCCCTGGGCGGGCCTGAGCTTCTGCCCAGGCATTGAGAGGGTGGTGTGAAAACAGATCCACCTTCAGTACTGCCTGGGCTGCCATGGGGCAGTGACCGAGCTCTCATGGACACTCGGGGTCAGACAGAGCCCAGGATCTGGCCCCGCACCGGCTGGGCTTGGCTGCTTCTGGCAGCATAGTGTGGTGGGAGGATTCCGCGTGTGCCCTGGGGAGGCCCTGGCCAGGGTGGACCCCACACACATCCCTCCCGTCTGGGGCGGCGGTGCCCCACTGTCCCCACGTAGCCCGTGCACTGGGAGCCCGTGGCACCAGGAGCGAGCCAGCAGCACTCCACAGCGGCCACTGCCTTCGGTGGGGACTCTATTCAGATGGCAGGGCCATCAGCCCCAACAGAGCAGGCGGGGCCTCCCCGGATGCTGGCCTTAGAGGGGTTTGGGGGGCTGAGGCTGGTGTGGGGAGGCCCAGGGCCAGGCAGAGGTGAGCGGATCTGCCAGGGAGCCCCTGCCCCGTCACGGCGCCCATCTGCGTAGGGGTTGTGGCAGCCGCATTGATGGGTCCACCTGGAAGCAGAGCTGGTGACCAGGCCCGGGGTCTCCCATGGGTCAGGACCCCCAAGGGTAACTAGGAAAAGCCACCTGCCGGCTAGGATGGCCCAGGGCGCGGAGAGGCTGCAGGACGTCCGGGGCTGCACACATCTGCTCATGGCTGCTGTGACCCCCCAGGACCCCTACACGGAGCCCGAGCAGGGCCATTGTCTGCCAGGCCCATAGCTCAGGACCCTGGGCCCATGGGCTTTTCGGGGCCCACAGAAGTGCTTTCACCTTTTTTCAGATCAGAAAGGAAACAGAAGGAAAAAACTGAACTCCTAGGGTTCCTTTTATACCAACACAGGCATAAAATAAATGTTCAATGTTTTCACAGAGGAAGGAGCCCACGGAGGCCGAGTGTCGAGGACCCACCCTGGCCCCAGCGGGGAGGACCAGGGGCGCTGGACCAGAGACGAGGCCTGTCAGTGCAGAGCTAGGGAGGAAAGCAGGGAGGCGAAGGTGAGAAGGGTTAGGGAGAGAGAGGGAGAGATGGGAGAGGACAGTCACGGAGCCAGAGCTGGGAGCCCACAGCCTTGGTGGCGGCTGGCAAGCTCTGCTGCCCCCAGCCTCCAGGGGCGCGTGGCCGCGCGCCGCTGCTCCCGTCCTGTGCGCACCGAGGGGACAGGGAAAGCCAGCCTGCGCCGGGCTCTGACCCTGTGCCGGGTGCACAGATGGGCGGGGTTCGGAGGAAGGGAACGGAGCTCAAACGGAGCTCCAGCAGGTGGGAGGAGAGAAGTCCCCCCAAACTCTGCACAACCCCCAACACCATCTCGGCCATAGGGTGGGCGCCAACAAAAGCCCAAGAGTGCCGGCTGTCCAGGGCCAACCACTGTGTGCATCGCTGGGGCAGCCAGCCCTGGGCCAGGTTGATTCTGCCCCGCCGGGAGTGGAGGGGCCCCGGGAAGGGGGAGCGGTGGGGGGGGCGGGCCCGGGAATCCGGGGCTCCTCCCTCCGCCCTCCGCCCTGCGGCCAGGGCTGCTTCCACTAGAAGGCAGTGCTGCTCAGCCGACGGCAGAGGCCGGGCCAGCTTGGCAGGTGCAGCCGAGAGTGAGAATTGGGGCTGGGGTACAGGATGGGGCCCTACTCTGGGGAAGGGGTCACCGGATCAAATACAGGACACCCGGTGAGATTTCCATTTCAGATAAACAATGAATGACATTTTTTAGTATGGGACATACTTGTCCTAAAATAGTATTCCTTGTTTATCTGCCATTCAGATCTTACCCAGTGCTCTGTATTTTTTAAAAATTAATTAATTAATATTTATTTTTGGCTGCGTTGGGTCTTTGTTGCTGAGCGTGGGCTTTCTCTAGTTGCGGCGGCGGGGGCCACTCTTCGTTGCTGCATGCGGGCCTCTCATTGCAGTGGCTTCTCTTGTTGCAGAGCACGGGTTCTAGGCACGCGGCCTTCAGTAGTTGTGGCGCACGGGCCTAGTTGCTTCGCGGCAGGTGAGATCTTCCCAGACCAGGGATCGAACCTGTGTCCCCTGCACTGGCAGGTGGATTCCTGAACACTGAGTCACCAGGGAAGCCCAGTGCCCTGTATTTTTCAAAAAATATTTTATTACTGATATTCATTTTGTTAAAGTAATTTTACTTTATTTATTTATTTTTTGGATTCATTGGGTCTTCCTCACACGGGCTTTCTCTCTAGCTGAGGCGAGCGGGGGCTACTCTTGGTTGCGGCGCGCAGGCTTCTCGTTGCTGTGGCTTCTCTTGTTGCTGAGCACAGGCTATAGGCAGGGGGCTTCAATAGTTATGGTGGGACTTCCCTGGTGGCACAGTGGTTAAGAATCCGCCTGCCAGGGCTTGCCTGGTGGTGCAGTGGTTGGGAGTCCGCCTGCCGATGCAGGGGACACGGGTTCGTGCCCCAGTCTGGGAAGATCCCACATGCCACGGGGCGGCTGGGCCCGTGAGCCATGGCCGCTGGGCTTGCGCGTCCGGAGCCTGTGCTCCGCAACGGGAGAGGCCACAACATTCCGCCTACCAATGCAGGGGACGTGGGTTTGAGCCCTGGTCCAGGAAGATCCCACATGCCGTGGAGCAACTAAGCCCGTGTGCCACAAGTACTGAGCCTGCGCTCTAGAGCCTGTGAGCCACAACTACTGAGCCCGTATGCTGCAACTACTGAAGCCCGCGTGCCTAGAGCCCGTGCTCCGCAACAAGAAAAGCCACCGCAATGAGAAGCCCGCACACCACAACAAAGAGTAGCCCCTGCTTACCGCAACCAGAGAAAACCCGTGCGCAGCAATGAAGACCCAAAGCAGCCAAAAATAAATAAATAAATTTATTAAAAAAAAAAATTATGGTGTGTGGGCTTAGTTGGTCTGTGGCATGTGGGATCTTCCCGGACTAGGGCTTGAACCTGTGTCCCCTGCATTGGCAGGCAGATTCTTAACCACTGTGCCACCAGGGAAGTCAGAGTGTCCTGTATTTTATTATTTTATTTGCTAGGTCTGCTGACCATTCCTGGGACAGTACAGGCAAGTGCAGGGAAGGAGCCCAGGGTGGGGCTGCAGCCCCGGCTCCAAGTTCATCAGCTCGGTAACTGATGTCCGGATGGGTCACCAGGAGGCCGCACCTGCCCTGCACGGTGACTCAGGTGAATGTTGGCAGTGGTGCTGGCTGACATCCAGGCATACCTGGGTGGGGCGGGGCAGGGCGGGGTGGCTTAGACTGAGCTCTGGAACCTTGCCTCTGACCTCTTACCCAGAGGTAGCAGGACCCACTGACTTTGACTTGGGACTCATTTATCTAGGCCTCTGAATGGTGAAGGGTGTGGTGAGGGTCAACGGCCAGGGAACTGGGTCTGCTCACTCGGAGAGGGACGGCTGCTGTAGTTCATGTTGTTGGAACTCTCTAGACTTGTGCAGTGCACAACCTGCCTAACTGTGCCAGGTGGTCCTGGGCCGTGTCTCTGTTTCCCTCTTCAGCCAGGGGCTCTCCCTCATCTCCCCTGCCAGGCTTCTGCTCCCACCACAGTCCCTGTGCTCCCACAGGAGTTTCCTTGGTTATATTTAGGTCATGAATTCACCTGGAGTTTCACTGGGTTTATGAACAGAGGTAGGGGCTCTGACTCACTCTCCCATCCGCCGGGGCTGCTCTGCCCCAGTGCCACGTGGCCAGCACTCCACGGCTCGCTTGAGTGGGTGTGTGTGAGTGCCGCAGAGGGGCTGAAGCCAGAGCTCAGATACCCCGCTCCCTGGGACTGGGTCTCCACGGGGAAAGACGGAGAGGGCAGGACAGACAGAAACGGCGGCAGCGCCTGAGGCCTGTGTGCAGGTCAGTTCAACGACCAGTGCCTTCTTGTGTCTGCTTATCCGGAGGGCCATCCCTGGCGCAGAAGCAAGCCAGCCGTTCCCGCCAGTGGCTTTTCCCCGATGATCGAGTCCCTCAGTTCCTTTCTGTGGGCGGTGGGCCCAGCTCAGCAGTTCAGGGCCTCGAGTGTCCCCTGACAGCCCGGGAGCTGGCAGGCTCCAGGCAGCAGGTGTGCTCCTCTCTGGACTTGTAAGGGAGGAGTCCTTCACTCACTCAGTCTCGCGCTCATTCATTCATTGACCAGTGAACTGTTCGGGCCCCGGCCATGGAGCAGGGAGCTGCGTGGAGAGGTCTCAGGGGCCGGACAGCGGGACTTGAGCCAACGGGCGGTGGCGAGGTGGGGCAGGAAGCCGCCTACCTCTGCTGACGGAGCCCCAGGACCAGCAGGACCCAGGGACACCGGCTCCTTCCCATGCACACAGCACCCCACGTCCCAGGCCTGGCCTGGCTGCGGGGGGATTGGGAGCTCCCTGGAGGCCCTGGGTGGCAGCCATGGGTCACCCAGCGCAGCTCGGGGACAGAGAGGAAACGTGGCAGAAGGAACCCACGGGGAGGGCCTTGCCTCCCCCGGTCCCTTCTTCCCACTGGACCAGGAGGGACGACGGCCCACACAGGGGAAGGCCACCGGCCAGCGATGGTGGGTGGAACACAGGCCCGGGTCTCTGCAGAGCGGAGCGCCCAGCCTCCCACCTTCCGCCTCCTCTGGGCAAGGGGCCGCCTGAGGAAGTGTGAAGAGCTGCTCCCTGAACCGGAGAGTCTGAGTCTCCGGGGTGAGTTTGCAGAGCTGCCACCAAAGGCCCTTCCCGACCATGTAACGGACCAGACAGACATCCCACCTGACCTCAGTCAGCTCAGGGTGGCGGGGGTGAGGGGAGCAGGCCGACTTGGGATTTTGATTCAGCGCATGCAGGGGAGGGTGAAGGAGGCCTGGTCAGCGGGGCAGAGCCCTGGCCCCTCCCCCTCCCCCCCCCCGTCACGGTGGAGAGGACGCCCCCACCCTCCCCAGCGCAGGGGGCTTCCCTAATATCTGTGGCCTCCTCCCCCTGCGGTGGTGAGGTGGGATGGAAGGGACCAGGGCCACTCCGAGGCCCCATGGCCCGAGAGGCAGCCCCTTGGGCAGCAGCTGAGGCTGGGACTGGGTGGCGTAAGGCAGCGGGCGACCTGTCTGGCCTCCAGACCTGTCCAGCACCACGGGCTGGCCAGCTGGGGCAGCTGACGGAGTCTGGATGCCAGCTGGGCCAGGGGTGAGGCGGCCGAGGGCAGCTGCCCAAGGATAGGCCTGGCACACCACGCAGCCTGTCCCCCTTCAGCTCACGGGCCCCACACACAGCTGAGGAAACTGAGGCCCAGAGAGGAAGGGCTGGGCCGAGGTTATCCAGGGGGCTAGACAGGGATGCCTGGGTCCGACCCTGGGCACCAAACCCCATCTCCTGCTCCGTCTTGCTGGCCGGGGACACTGGGGGGCCCTCTCGCCCTTCTGAGCCCCTGTCTGTCCAGTGCGGGGCTGAGTGAGGCCATCTCCGAGGACCCATCGGAGACCTGGGGTACGGCTGGTGTCAGAGGCGGGGAGGCCGGTGGGGCCCTTAGGGCGCCGGCTCCAGGGCCTCGGCTCGGCCTCTGCTTGGAAGCTTTCTGCCTCCAGCCCCTCGTCCCTGCCGCCCCTCCCACCCAAGCCTGGCACTCAGACACGTGTGTCGTGGCCATGAGGGGCTGTGCGAGGGGGCCGCCACCTGGGACAGGGGGCCCAGCTCTCCAGTGATGAGTGATGGGAGGGGCTGCTGCGGAAAGGGCCTCACCCCGGGGCCTTCAGCTCTGGCTCCTCTTGGGGCTTTTGTCTCCCCTGCTCTGTCCAGCGGCATCTGCCCCTCTCCGGCCCTCTGTCTCCCAGGCTGGACACCCTCTCTGGGAGGAAAAGAAACTGCTCTGCCTTCCCGGCCCCCCCCCCCGCCCCGGTCTTGTGACCCAGGAGCTCCTGACAGTACAGCCAGATGGCGATTTCCTGTTGACCCCAGAGCCCGGGCTCCGTGTCCCTGGCTTCCTGGTCCCCCTGCTCTGTCCAGCGGCATCTGCCCCTCTCCGGCCCTCTGTCTCCCAGGCTGGACACCCTCTCTGGGAGGAAAAGAAACTGCTCTGCCTTCCCGGCCCCCCCCCCCTCCCCGGTCTTGTGACCCAGGAGCTCCTGACAGTACAGCCAGATGGCGATTTCCTGTTGACCCCAGAGCCCGGGCTCCGTGTCCCTGGCTTCCTGTGCCCTGGCCAGCTACCCTGGAGCCCCGGCCGCACGGTCCTCTCCCCACTCCCTGGGGAGTTTGTGGCCCCAGCACCGCCCCCTGCAGAGACCTGGGAATCAGGCCCAGAGGCCTCACCTCATCTATTTTTAAGCACAAGTCCATGAAAGATTCACAGGCTCCTTTATTTACTGGTGGTGGGATGGCACTGGTGCCTTGTGGCACACCCACCAAGAGGTCCCAGATCACAGGCCCCAGCAAGCTCACCTGAGTGCCGTGGGGCAGCCCAGGCGCCTCCCTCTGCAGGCCCCCGCTGTGCTCTCCCGACCTTCCTTCCTCCCAAGGAGCTTCTCTCCAGGAGATGAGACTCCTGGAGATGCCTCCCCAGAGGGAGTGGGGCTCCTCCCTGTGCCCCAACCAGCTATGCAACTGGCTGCTCCCCATCTAAATGGTCCGATCTCGGGCGACTGCTGAGACTTTGTCTCCTCGCTGGCTTTCACGTCCTGGCCTTTTATCTGGGCAGGTTTGAAGGGAGAGGAATCCACCTCCTGATGCCAGAGGCAAAGTCAGGAGTGGGCTTGCTTCCTGCTGGCCTCCTGGAAACAGGCCACAAGGAAACTGAGGCTCGGGGATATTGGAACTTTGCCATTTCTCTGGAGTTCAAAGGCTGGGCATCCCACCCCTGTCCCTAAAGCCACATGGCGACAAGGGGTGCTTTATCTGGGCCTCCAGAAATGCAGAGGCTCGGCCCTTCCTTCCAGATACCCCACCCAACCCCAGATAAACACAAGGACCTCAGGGCCCCTCCCCTTGGCTGCTGCGGGCTCCTGTGGCCTCAGGAGGTGGTGCCGGTTCAGCCCCGATTGTGTCACCTGGTGTCAGGTGCTGTCTGGCTGGGCAGGTCCCAGCTAATGCCCAGGAGGGCTCTCAGCTGTCCTCCAGCAGGGGATGGGACTGACTTAGCAACAAACTCCCCCAGCACCTTCCCTGGGTGCTTGTGGGGACTCGGGGCACCCAAGAGGGTCAGGCAGGACGCCGGTACATCCCTGCCTGTCAAAGTAGCATTGTCCACGTGGGAGGAGCCCGGAGAGAGCCCACGCCAGGCCCTCTTAGTCATGAATCACTCATTTTAGAGGAAAATCTCATGTCTCGGTATCTCCACCAACCCAGAAGATTCTCTGGTGATTCACTTTCAAGAAACAAAAAGACTTATTGTTAGCCTTCCAAATGGGGCATTACAGGAGAATATTGAATATTTGTTTCAGACCCCGCGGAGCCTGAGGCCCCTCCTCCTCTCCCTCCCTGTCAGGGGAAAAGTGGACGTTTTCTTTCAACACTTCCCCAGAGGAGGAAGGAACTGGGAAAGAAGGCAAAATTGAGCAACAGCCTCTCTGTCTGAGGACAAAACAGCGGCATCCAGAACCCCCGCCCCTGGGAGCAGGAGGGCGGGGCAGCGCACCAGGCGCACCAGGTGCACCAGGCGCTAGCAGCCTTACCGGCTGGAGCAGTGGGTGTGGGATACCGGGCCGGGCCAGCTCTTCCCCTGTCACCGGGGAGGCGTTTGCTCTGAGGAGTATTTGTGGAGCACCTACTGTGTGCCAGGCATTATTCTCTTGGGTGTCAGACGCCAGAGCAGGCACGGCTCAGTGGAGCAGCCCTGGGAGGTGGGGGAGAATGGCCACGAACACGAAAACCCACGAACGCGTAACTGAGTCATGGGAAGGGATGTGAGGGGTGGGTGGGGCTGCCTTGGTAAGGGTGGTGGGCTGGGAGCTGAAGGACCAGAAGGAGCCCTTGGGTAAAGCAGCTCCGTCTGCCCGTGGTGGTTGTGAGCATGGGATTCCGTTCCTCTGTAAGGACCCTCTGGGTCCTCCAGCTCAATGTATTTCTACACCCGCTCCGAGAAGCCCTCCTGGGACCCGGCCTCCTGCCCCAGCGCCCAGCTCCTTGCAGCACTGCTGTCTGTCGTGCGCCCACCTGACCCATGAGCCTTTTCTGGAGTCTCGCTGGGGTCTGTCCAGGGAGCCCCAAATCCTGCAGCCAGCCCGGGCACAGCAGTGCCGGCACCCCCTCCCCGGGGGGCTCTCAGGCCTCCTCTAGAGGGGGCAGCTATATCCTGTTCCAAGTGTGGAAAAAGAGACAAGCTGTTCTATTTGACGCAGAATGATGGCCAGACGGATTTGTAGCAAGACTGATCTAGAGAATGCTCTCACAGGTTTTACTGTAAATCGCCCACAGGTGTAATGCAGAGGAAATGACGCTCCTTTTGTGAAAAGCTAAGAACACCTGTGAATGGGCTACTCCACCCACAGCAGGGAAGCCGCTCCTCCCTTTGGGCCTGAGACCCCCATTCCCGCCAAAATAGCAGTTTGGGGAGGGGGGAGGCTTCCGTGTAGTATTTCAGTAACAGATCACCTCAGCATCTGAAGAAGGGAAGAGGCCGATAGCAGCATTCTTAAGGCCCTGGGGCTCCACACATGCGGCCATTGGTAAATTGCAGCAAACCCGGGACCCAGGCCACAGGTGGAGGGCACTTGTGCAGAAAGGAAACTTGGTTTTACAGCCTCAATCTGCTCTGAGGCCGGTTGGCCGCGCCCACAGGGGGTGACCTGGAGCATCGGGCAGGGTCCCTGCTCCTCCCCAAAGCCAGCGCAGGCCCATCCGCTGATGTGGTGATACCGGCCCTGGCCTGGCACCGGGAGCGCTGGAGATAACACGCGGGCCCTGGCACCCAAAGCCGTTGCTCCCAGCCCCTACCAGGAACACGCCTCATGCCTACTCAGAGCCCCCTCCCCTCAGTCCTTGCGCCCACTGGGCCGCACAAGGCTGGGTCTCCCCTCAGACGCTGGAGCGGACCCGAAGCGGCAGGCTACCCGTCGGTCACCGGGCGCGGTTCAAGGGCCCCTTGTGTGGCAACCGGGCTGGCAAGGGCAGCCGCGTCCTCGGCCGCCTTTGGAGCGCGGTTTGGGGAGGGGAGGGGAGCTGCGGGGTGCCACGGCCCAGGCGGCCCGCTGCGGGGATGCGGGGGGCTGGGGAGGGGCGCTGGGCCAGAGGCCCGAGGCCTGGCGTTAGGGCAGGGGCAGTGTCGCGGGCGGGGCGGGGGGGGGGGGGCGGCCCGCCCGCCTGCCAATGCAGGGGACACAGGTTCGTGCCCCCGGTCCGGGAGGATCCCACATGCCACGGAGCGGCTTGGCCCGTGAGCCATGGCCTCTGGGCCTGTGCATCCGGAGCCTGTGCTCCG